ATACCCCACACATATACCTGCATGTCAGGAGCAGGATAACCCTATTCAGGAGGATGATGAAGTTCATGAGGAGCAGGAAAATCCTATTGCAGAGAAGATTTTGGTGGTTGAAGGACGACATGTTATTAGTCCTGATGGATCGGGGTAAATTTTTTATTTATAATATTTATTTAACTATATATTACCATTTTTATATTAATACTTATTCAAATTATTGTTGTTGTTTAGTTTAGATTTGTGTTGGCCTGCTGCAAAAGCTGTATACCGGGTCATTCAACTGATGTATACAAAACTCATTAAGTCTTTTGGAGAACTTATAACTATTTTTTTTAAGTTCTATTTTGTATTAATATATACATATTTAATTAAACTTAATTATTTTAATTAGAAAAAGGATTTGGGGAGGGAACCACATATTAATGAGCTATTTGTGAAGATCCAAACCAAAAAAAACGGGGGAGTTTGTTGATAGTCGTTCCAAATCAACCTTGGTAACTTATTTATATTTTATTATTTTATTTCATTATTGTATATAACTAAATTGTTTAAACTATATTTAATTTTTTTATGTGTGTGTGGGAGTTGTGTCAGACCTTGCTATCCCAATTTCTAGTTGAAAATCCTCAGTATGCTCTGATCGAAAATGCTCCGCTTGATCCACGTGTGGATCTTTATATTTGGTGTTTAACAGTAGCCGAGAAGGGAGAAAATGAGTGTTTTTTGGTCTTGGATCTTTGGCTGCCGACTACAGAAAAGAGGATAGAACTTTATTTCAAAGACTTGAATATGGGGAAGGAGGATCTCGTCTGCCAGAATTGACACCTGAAATGTTGGCAACAGTGAGACAACTAGCTCTATCTGAGGCGAGACGAGAGACGGAGGCACATGAGGTGGCACTAAAGGCCAAAATGGAGGAAATGAGGAACAGGCAAAATGCTGAAATTGAGGAAATTAAGAAGAGGCAATCTGAGATGGAGACACAAATGCGACAATTTTTTGCCTCACAATCGAATTGTTCTGTCCAAGAAGATGAAGAAGATGTTATATTTAGCAGTGACGATGAATAACTTTTTTTTTATTATTATTATTTATGTTTGTGACGTGAATATCACGTAACACTTTTATTATTATTATTTATATTTGTGACGTGAGCATCATGTGACTAAACATTTTATATCTTTTAATAATTATAATTATTAAAAAAATTAATTTTTTTAATCGAAATTTATTTTATTTTTTACATTTTATTATTTATTAATTTGTTTTATTCATTAATATTTATTAATTTTTACATTTTATTTTAAAATACATCAGTGAAATGAAATTCACGTCACTAAAATTAAAATAAGTTTGAGTTTTGTGACGTGAAAACCATGTCACTAATTAGTGGCGTGGAAATTAAAACCATGTCACTAATTAGTGACGTGAATTTCACATGGGAACATCTCCAAATAATATTGTGGTTTGTGACGTGAAATTCATGTCACTAATTAGTGACATGAATTTCACGTGAGAAAAAGTTCTCACGGATGCTCCTTCAACGTGCTCTGCCCACATCCCAAGTTTTGTTTAGTGACGTGATTTTGGACTTAGTGACGTGAATATCATGTGGGAAATGGAAATATTTTTTGTAGTGGATAATGGTTTCGAACTTCTTTGTACATCTCCATTATTATATTGTGTAGTAGTATCATGTATGTGTGGTTCATTCATGTTGTCGCAAAAAAATAATAATAAAGATGTTGTTGTTAATTGCTTTCTGTTGCTGTTAATTGCTTTCTATTGATGCTTTTCCTTGATGAATCTGATTAATTCATGATGCTTTTCCATGAATGTTGTTGATTTTGTATGTTGTCTAAAGATTCACATGATGTTTTGTCATGTATGTTGTTACTTTCTCGTGATGTTTTGCCACGTACATTTGATGTTTTATATTTGTGATGCTTTGACACGTACCTTTGTTATTTTATATTCGTGATGCTTTGCCACATACCTTTGTGGATCTCTTTTTGGTTGATGACTACCTGATGTTTTACCATGTGTCTAATGATTGTATCTGTTAATTTCTACATGATACTTTTCCATGTAGGTTGTTGATTTTATTTGTTGATGATTCACGTGATGCTTTGCCATGTGTATGTTGTTGATTCTCTTGGTTGTTTTATCTACATGATGTTTTTCCATGTGTACGTTGTGTTTATTAATTTCATTTATCTTAATTTACATGATGTTCTTGTCATGTACTTGTTGATTCACACGATGCTTTGTCATGTGTATTGTGTACCTTGTCGATTTCAATGTACTATGTGTACTTGTTAATTACATGATGATCTTCCATGTATATGTTACTTTCATACTATGATGTTTTCACATGTGTACTCTGTTTATTACATGATGATTTTCCATGTATTTGTTACTTTCATGCCATGATGCTTTCCCATGTGTACTATGTTGATTACATGATAATTTTCCATGTATTTGTTACTCTCATACCATTATGCTTTCCCATGTATACTCTGTTGATTACATGATTATTTTCCATATATCTGTTACATTTATACCAGGATGATTTCCCATGTGTACTTTGTTGGTTACATGATAATTTTTCATGTATCTGTTACTGTCATACCATGATGTTTTCCCATGTGTACTTTGTTGATTTCATCTGTTGTTGGTTACATGATGATTTGCCATGTATCTACTACTGATCACATTATGCTTTGCCATGTGTACATTGTTATTTTATCATTTGTGATGCTTTGCCGTGTACCTTTGTTGATTTTGTGTCTATTGACTAAATGATGTTTTGCCATGTGTACTTTATCGATTCTAGTTGTTGTTTTATCACATGATGCTTTGCCATGTGTATTTTGTTGTTTTCCTTTGACGTTTTTCCATGTATATGTTGATTTCTTTCTATGCTTGTGACCTAATCCAAGGGAAAGGGATTTTATGTTGACATACTGCCATGTGCATGTCCATTGTATATTTGTTGCTTTGCCTTGTCTATCTTTGTCTTTGTTTTCCCATCCTTTGACCTTTAGCAAACAATTTTAGCCAAAACACAAATTTTTCAAGAGGTTCCTGTAGGATATTGCAGAGGCTTAATGTGCTAGTACGTTCCCTTAGTATTTTCAACCCTCGTACCTTTGATCTCTCTTTGCTTAGCTTTAGGCCTTGCTTTTTGCTTTGTATGTTTACTTAGGATTTTTGTTCAATCTTTTCTCCATTCCCTTGAAAAAATAAAAGTTCGATGGTGATATCTTATCTTTGCGAGTCAAGCTAATCCAATAGCTTTGGTCTCCAATTCTCACCGCGACACCTATCCATTCATTTTCTTCTTTGTCTTGTAGCGTTTCATCCTTATCCATTCATTTTCTCCAACCCAGCCCTGCCACGCCAACATTAACACTAAGTTGAGAACTCATACCAACATCTTCTAGCTCAAGGCCTGTTGGATGGTGTTCACTGATTCCTGGTGTGACAGTACTCGACACCTAAGCTAATTTTGCACAAGCACAAAACACATAAAATTGACAAAAGAGAGTACCTAGTGTGATATATCCTAAATTAACTAAAGTAACCTAAATCATAAATAAATGATATTACTTAAGATATAAAATGCCTTAAAATCCAAGTATAAAATGATTAAATATCTCACATAAAGTGAGTTATCAAATATTCTTAGTCAAATAACTACTCTTTTACATTCTACAAAACAGGATTTTGGTGGCTCTAATAATATATCGACCCCTAGACTTGTGTCTTGGCACCTCCTCCAGAGAATGTGATAAATGCCAATGTAGATGGCAGTTTCATTGGTAATATAGGGTCATCTGACTTTGGTGGTCTTTTGAGAAACATTTCTTGAGGTTGGATTACAGCTTTTGCAAGAATTTGTGGTTTTACCTATAGTATTAATGTCTATCTTCGAGTCATTTCTCATATGGTCATGATATATCTTGGAATCATGGGTTCAGAAATGTGATTTGTGAGTCTGACTCTCAACTGACTCTGAAGTTTATTCAAGATGATGTGTCTTCTACTTATTCTTATGTGTCTCTAGTAGATTATATACATTCTCTTATTCATAAAGAGTGACATTTTGTCCATGATCACACTTTACGCATAGGAAGTAATAATACTCTGATTGGCTTGCTTATCTGGGAGTCTCGTTTTGAGAATATTTTTTATTTATTTCTCTTCTTTAACTAATTTAACAGATTTTATAAAAATTCAATTTTCAAAAGCTTAATTTTTCGTTGTTTTCTTTTTTTTTTTATTGATAAAAAATACTAAATATCCCGTGGTAAAATATCATCAAAGAAAAAAACCCTCCTAAGAGTTTATATTATACTAGTTTTGAAACTTTATCTCGCATATATAACACTTAAATTGGACCACTCTTAAAATTTGAAACTTTGTCTTAAATATACAAGATTCAAATTGGACCACTTAAAAAAATTGAAATTTTGTCTTGCATAAAACACTCAAATTGGACCACTCTTAAATTTGAAAGATGGACATAATAATTATATTAGTTACTCAGCCTTTAAATCATCATCTAATGCTAGTGGGGAACAAAATCAAAAGCTACTTAGTGCTTAATCAATACGAAAACAGTAGTATAAAAAAAGCAACTAATCATAAGCATTTTCGTTAAATTAAAGACATAAATCATCACTTTAGTTTATGTTCCTTGACAACAATAATCATGTCATTATATAACTATAAAAGCACATTTCATAATCACTTTTTAAAAAAAAAATTGTGTTCATACCTACATGCAGATAAAATATTCATATATATTAAAATATTAGAGTGACTTAACTTAACCACTCAAAAAGTGGTATTTTATTAAGAGTAGATAAGCTCAACTTTAGATACATGTGTATTTTAATGAAATAATATATAAAATTTTCTAGATCACATAGGAAATTGAAATATCTTTTCTTTCAAGGCATGACCCTATAAGATTAGTGGGGTAAATTAAACAAAGTTTATTTATCTTCATAATCTTCTGTAGTAGGGTGCACGGTAGGCTCTGCTGTTGCATCATCCTCAAGAGAATCATCACCGCCTATTTGATCAAGAACAAGCACGAATCCCATTGCAAAAGCAGCATCAAAACCAGGTTTAACGGAAAGAGAGAACACTTCTTTCCCAATCAACACACCTGTAGTGGGGTCCACTTTTCGATGAATCTGAGCCACTGATTCTTTTGAAGCGTTAAAAACGGTGCAACTGCGTTGCGAGAAGCATCCTTCGATGTGGTACTCCTCACCGGGACTATCGTAGACCTCCACCGAAACTCCAGCGTATGACCGTCCCATTATAGATGATCGCTTCACGCTGAAGGTGGGTTTATCACCGTTTATTCTTTCTCCTTTGAAGCCTTCCCACCGTTGATGCAGACTCGGTTTCTGTTAAAACAAAATGTGTAAGTCCACTCAAATTATTGAAATAAAACAAAGCCTAGTAACTAGTTCTTCTTTTTTTGGTACAAAAACAAAGGCTACTTCTATGGATACAAATGAAATAATTGTTGTACCATACACAAATATCAAGGAATTACGAATTTGTGTAAGAGTATTTATGGTAGAACAAAGATTTTATTTTCATTATAATGGGTTCCAATAATCTTTATATTCTCAATATTACATTTTTACTTATAAAAAAAGTTAAAGACATCGTTAATAGACTTTTAAATTCAAGTTTTAATTTTCAACTTGAGTGCTTACAACATTCTATAAGGATGAATTAACGAAATTGTCATTCGGAGTACTTAAAATGATAAGGTCTCTTCCAGTTTAGAGAAAAAAAGAATTTAGATTCGAATCCAATAATCTTGAGTATATATATATCAGTGTTTGCGACTCGAGAAATTAGTCTTTACCGTTCTATTTATAAAAAAAATTGTGAGAGAGTAAGATTATTTTAGTTATGAAAATATGGAATTTTAAGTTGGCACATTTCCTTTCCGAGGGTTTGTACGAAACAAAAGAAAGAATCTGTTACTGAACTTTTTTTACAGTAACATTAATCACAGATACGGAAAAACCAATGATTATTTATGAGCAACCCTAACCCTTAATGAGTTGACTCGGTTGAGAACAAAAGTCATGGCGGCGTACCTTCCGGCGAACGGTGAGGATGCAACGGCCATCTGGATCCATTAAAACAAGCTCATCAAGGTCACGAGAATCAGGTCCATAAGACTCAACTCTGAAAGTAACTTCACCTTTGGAATCATAGACGGTGAAACCATCACCGGCGAAGAAAAGAGAGGTTTTGAGCACTGTGAGATGAATCTCTTCTTCGAAAACGTATCCTTCTTGCACGAGTAAATCGTCTTTCATGGTTTCTACGGCGGAGTCGGAATCAATACAAAGAGTGGTCATGAAGATGGAGCATGTGAAAGTGGGTATTGTTTTGTATTATTGGTAATTTTAAGGAAAAGAAAGTGTGGTTTGTTACTAAACATTGATAGGTTTATATATAGTGCCCCACTTTAATAATTTATTTTGTAAAGTGGGGTACACAAATTGATACATGCATGGATGGTATGGTCATCTACACGTCCAATGTCGGGAGCCTAGAGATACCGCAAGATTTTTATTTTGAGGTCAAGTTTCAAACTTTAGAATTTTGTTTTTGTTTTTTTTTGTTTTAATTCAATGATAGTAATCAAATTCACATTAGAATTTTTATTTTAAAGTTGGTGTGTAGCCTTAGGACCAATTAATTTAAAGGACTAATTTTATGAGTAATTTCTAAGAATTTTATTTAAAGTTAAAGCAAAATTTTATATGGTCTTAATTTAACAAAAAAAAAATTGAGATTTTAAAATGAGTATATTGTAAAACTCAAGTCATCATCAACATATCAATTTTTAAGATATATTTGGAAATTGTTTTTTGGAAAATTTTGAATATAATTATTTTAGAGGGATGTGTTTATTTCTTAAAATATATATGATAGTTTTAAAAAGTTTAAAAATGATTTTACATGTAATATTTTGTTTTTTTATTCTTTTACTTTTTAAAAATACCACATACATTTCAAGAGTCCAACCTTTTATAATTTTCATCTAATACAACCCTTTATATTTTTTAATTCTCACTCAAATATGTTTTAGAGTTTGGAGGATAAAGAGAATGACTTTGGAAAAAAAAGTTGAGTGAAAAAATTGAAAAATTTTAAAAGATCTTTTTTTATATACAGCAAAAACTCTTTAGTTTGGAAAAATTAAAAATTTGTATTGAAAAAGAGTTTTGGAGGTTTTATATAAACTTTTAAATATATTTTATGTTATTATAATATTTTAAAAATACAAAAGATAGTAATCATAAATATTCTTTTAGTATTTTCATATAAAATTATTTTTCAAAAAATGTCTCATTTTTCTTTAAAAAAATCGTTTTCAAAAACCTCCGTGTCCTATACTCTTCAAAGTCTCAAACAAAATCTTAAAAATTAAAAAATAATAATAATTTTTTTGTCTCATTAATTTATTTTTTCTTCAATACAAGAATATGTTTTTAAAATTAACTAGTGTCGGTTAAAGTGGCCGCCTCAATTAACTTATAATCAATATATAATGTTTTTATTAGATATATAAAGTTGATTCACATGTTTTTTAAGATATTAAAATATGATGTTGCGTACATTTATTTATTTTTAATTTCAGAATAATATACTCAATTTAACTTAAATTTTTCTTTCCAAAATGTTTAAGCCAAAAAAATGTGAGGACATTATACAACAGCTAATCACATACATATTTATATACGGTGTTGAAATGCGGTATTATTATTTGGGTATTTAAATATCTCTGCTCATTTTTTTAATCATATAGTTTCACCAAATAAAATGACTAAGGTTTGGAAAAAGATTATTAAAAGTAAATGATGATAACAGTAATTGATACATATACTCCTATTTATGTACCTACCATGATCTCACTTACTATATTTGCATCGACAAACAAATATAGATATCTTTCCATTCCAATTTGATTCCTATTTAAAGCATTAATTTATTAGTCAGATCTGAAGGGTCCACAGTAACCCTTCCATATAATACAATTCCCTCACCTTTTAAAAATTATCTCATATCAATGGATTGAATAGATGAAACCAAATAAATTTAAAAATAACTCATTTGAATTAACTATTAAATTGTCTAGTATTTGGATCGAACTTTAATATTGACAAGAGTAGTTTTATGACTCGACAGAAGAGTTGTGTATGCTATAGTTAAAGTCTATTCAAACATCTTATTGAAATATGTTTTGTTTTAAAGCATGTCGAATTGGGCATTGCTTGTAAATTCAAATGTTAAGTTAGCTTGTAGCCTAACTTAACTTAATAGTTTATAAATAGATTAGTTCTCTCAGGTTGTCGAGAGAGGTTAATTTTGTTATTCACATGTAATTTTTCAACCTTTATTCAGTAAGTGAATAGTAAAACAGTTTTAATCAATTATGATTCTTCTTCTTCCTTCTTATCTCTCTTTCATAAAACCTAATAGGGTTTCTTGTCTTTGTTCAAGAAACTCACTCTTTCTCATTTGTTGGTTTGTTCTTGACGATATAAATTCACAACAAACTGGTGCGGTGATCGCGGAGGAGAAGATGTCGTCAACAAAGTATGAGATTGAGAAATTCATTAGTATGAATGATTTCGGTTTGTGGTGCTTGAAGATGCAATTCATTCTTGTTCAACAGGGTTTGTTAGAAGCATTGAAAGGATCAGAGAAGATGGGCGCTACCCTATTAAAGAAAGAGAAGACAATGATGGTTGAAAAAGCCCACAGTGCCATTGTATTAAGCCTTAGTGATAAGGTTCTTTGGCAAGTTTCAAAGGAGAAAATTGCAGCTGGTGTGTGGACAAAACTTGAAGGTTTGTATATGATGAAATTGTTGGTTAATTGTCTTACCTGAAGCAAGCTTTATATTCATCCAAGAATCAAAATTTGTATTCGTCTCTACCATGAGCAGCTGGATATGTTCAACAAGTTGATTCTTGATCTTGAGAATATTGAGGTCAAAATTGATTATGAAGATTAAGCATTGTTGTTGTTGTGTTATTTACCTAAGTCTCATGCTCATTTCAAAGAAACTATCTTGTATGGAAGAGATTCGTTGACCTTTGAAGATGTTTAATTTTCCTTGTACTCTAAGGATTTGAACGAATGAAAGGAGCATAAGCCATTGATTGTTGGCAAAGATTTACTCGTTAATCAGAAGTTCTTAAAGAAAAATTGTAGATTTGAGAAGAAGAAAGGTAAAATTCTATAAAATTCTTATGGTGGTAATGCTCATACTATTAAGTGTTATCATTATAAGAAGGAAGGTCATACAAGAAAAGTATGCCCTGATCGACTGAATTATTATGGTGGAAAGGATAATGGTAATGCATCTATTGTGCAAGATGGTTATGAATCATCTGATGTCCTGGTGGTTACAAGCAGCGGCTCTAGCAAGGAGTGGATTATAGGTTCAAGGTGTATTTAGCACATGACTCTAAACAAAGACGTGTTTAAGGAATTGTGTGATCAAAATGGTGGACCAGTGCTACTGGGAAACAAAAAATCTTGTAAAATTGCAGGTATTAGATCTGTGAGATTCAAGCTCCATGATGAGTTAATAAGGTTGTTGACTGATGTTAGGTATGTACTTGATCTTAAGAGGAATTTGATTTCTCTTGGTGACTTCGACAAGAAAGGATATGTTTTCAAATGAGAGCAAAGTATCCTAAGGGTAATGAAAGGGTCGAAGGAAGTCTTTAGAGGCGTGAAAAAACAAGACTTATATACCCTTGAGGATGAGGTTGTAAGTGGTTCAGCAGATGTGGCATCCACGAAACCTGTGTGAAAAACTGAGCTATGGCACAAGAAACTTGACTATGTCAGTGAAAGAGGCCTGGTCTAATTGTCGAAACAAAATATGTTATGTGGTGACAAGGTTGAAAAACTGGAATTTTGTGAACCTTATGTATTTGGTAAATCCTGTAGAGTGAAGTTTAACAAAGGTAAACAGATAACACATGGATCCCTTGATTATATTCATGCTGGTGTTTGGGGGCCTGCAAGGAATCCTTCTTACTCAGGTGCAAAGTATTTCCTATCCATAGTTAATAATTATTTCAGAAAGTTATGGATATTCATCCAGAAGACTAAGAATGAAACTTTTGAAAATTTCAAAAGTTGGAAGACTTTGGTTAAAAACCAAACTGGCAGGAAGGTCAAGAGGTTGACGACCGACAATGGTCTTGAATTTTGTAATAAGGCTTTCGACAACTATTGTGTTGTGTTTGGTATTGCAAGGCACAAAACTACTGCAGGTACTCCCGAAAAAAATGGTTTGGCTGAAAGGTTTAATCAAACCATTCTGGAAAAGGTGAGGCGTGTGTTGGTAAGTGTAGGATTGAAGAAGATGTTTTGAGCAGAAGCTACTGTGATTGCAGCATACTTGATAAATAGGTGTTCCTAGATAGCCTTGGGAATGAAGACACATGAAGAAGTATGGTCGATACATCCACCTAGTCACGACAGACTTAGAGTATTTGGTTGTTTAGCCTATGCTCACATTAGGCAAGACAAGGTCGAACCTAAAGCTCTGAGATGTATGTTCCTTGGATACCCTAAAGGATTCAAAGCTTATAGGTTGTGGTGCCTAGATCCAGGTCACAAGAGGTGTATCACAAGTCGAAATGTAGTTTTCAATGAAGCTGAGATGACTTTCAAGAAAACTGATGACATTTGTCGAAGTTCAAAGATCTCTGAAGAAGAGATGGAACATGAAGAAGTTCATGTTAAGGTGGAGCATAGTGATGTTGAATTACATGACCTGGATGAAGTCGAAGAAGAAGCAGAAGGTGTTGTCGAAGTTGAGGATACTGATAATGACTACCTGATAGTAAGATACAGATCGAGAAGAGTCATCAAGTGATCGGAAAAATAGCAAGTGTACTATTTTTGTCGATTGTAGTTAAAATAGGGGTTTTATCCCCAGTTTCGATCTCGAGGACTCCATAGGAAATACAAACTCTCAAATAATTCAATTAAACAAAAGTACTTGGGGTTTTTGGATTTTGTTTGCAAATAATAAACTATAGAGAAAATAAAGCAAAAGAGTAAAATAGGTTTCTGACAGATATGAGAAGCATGCTAGGGACGGTGTATGAATTGCCTTGTAACAACATTAATCCTTATTTTAGAGACATGGCTTAGATTGTCAATTTTTTGACTGTAAGTTGTTTACTCCAAAGTCCTTAGTGAGAAAACATTTTGATTTCATAACCTAATTAATATGTCCATAGGTAATTACGTTTGAAATCAAGCATTACAAATAATGTCAACAGTGTTCCAAGTGCAACAGGGTATTCCTAGTCCTAGG